TAGGGTTAGTCCTTCAGCTTGTATGGCGGTGAGCACCCCGTGCAAGCGTTGGTCATGTTCTGCTAGTGTTGCACCCCAAATCAAGACATCGTCAATATACACCCGGAAGGCCATCCAGAAGGTAGCTCATGGTACGCTGAAACACTTCTGGAGCTGAAGCGAGTCCAAAAGGCAGTCGTAAAAATCGGTATCGCCCAAAAGGCGTACTAAAGATGCATATTCGAGAAGTGCCGTCATCTAGCGGTATTTGATGAAAACCGCTGTTGGCGTCAAGCCTGCTGAAATACGCGGCGTGCGCCAAGTCCGCTTCAATTTCCTCTCTTCGCGGAAGTTGAAAATGCTCTCTCTTGAGTGCTTCATTTATATGACGGGGATCCATGCATATCCTCAACTTATTGTTCTTTTTGCGTACTATCACTAAAGGACTCACCCAGTCTCAAGGTTCTTGCGCTTTCACGATGACACCGGCTTCCTCCATTCGATCCAGCTCTGCCTTGAGAGGCGCTCTGAGGGCGTGCGGTACCCTACGAGCTGGTTGTACCACCGGAGTAGAGTTTTCACGGAGAACCATCTTGTATGGTCTCTTTGCGCATCCTAGACCACGAAAGAGAGATGGAAACTCGCTTTCTACTTTCCGACGCAGTTGGTCTTCGTGCCCCACAGTGTTGACCCTGTTGATGAGGTCAAAGTACTCGCACGCCTTCAGGCCCATAATGGCCTGCCGTCCTTTCTTGACAACGAAGAAATCTATCAGTCCTTGCTTGTTGCCGATGGACACGGACAACCGGACCTTTCCCAGATGTTGGATGAGTCCACCGCCATAGCTGCGTAGAATTGCAGCCGTTGGTTTAGGCTGTTGTTTGGCTCTAATCTTCAGAAACAATGTGCGCGGAAGTAGGTTAGCCTGAGCATCGGTGTCTACCTTGAGCTCCACTTTTTTTCCTTCTATCAACGTGGTGATTGTCCAGTCACGGCTGCCTTCGGGCCGCGAGCTGCTGGCTGTTAGAATTTCGAGGGCATCAAATTCGCTGTCTCCCTCCTTGGCTTCTTCGACCTCGTGGATACCAGTCGGCTTGGCCTTACAGCATGCTGCAAAATGGTTCTTTTTTGCGCACTTCGAGCACGTCTTCCCATAAGCTGGGCACTGTCGAGGATGGTGAACATAGTTGCAAAAGCCACACTTCCTCTTACCACCGAGCCTTCCCCCGACCTTACTTCCGTGCTTGTTTCTCTCAACGTGTTCCACCTCCAGCGTTGCTTCCTTCTTCTCCTTGACAGGTGTTGCGGCACTCCATGCTTTACTGTGCATATCGGCTATTTCTTCAGCCTTGCAACATTCGACTGCCATTCCCAAGGTTAAATCCTTCTTTCGCAGGAGCTTCTCTCGCAGCTTTCTACTTGACGTTCCGTAAACAATCTGGTCACGCAGCATTGACTCCGTTAGTTCGCCGAATCCGCAAGTCCTCGCCTTCAGCTGTATGTCACGGTAGAACTGTTCGAATGGCTCTTCTTCGTCTTGTTGGCGAGTCCGAAATACGTAACGCTCAAAGGTTTCATTACATTTCGGGAGGCAGTACTCTTCAAATCTTCTTACCAGACTGTCGTAATTTGTGACTTCCTCGGGTGGTAGTCCAAATGTATTAAAAACATCAATAGCCTCCTGCCCCGCGATATGCAAGAAGATAGCGGCCTTTTGCTGGTGAGTCCGAGGCTTGATGGGTTCCGTGGCCAACAGAAAGAGCTCCATTCTCTGTTTGAACTACCTCCAGTTTTCAGCGGCATGCTCTTCCAACCTCAGCGTTTCTGGCGGCGGAAGATCAGTCATGATGTGCAGTGATTAACATCCCACTTCTGACACCAAGTATCGTTCTGTTAAGGACGACAAATAAAGCAGTCCGTACACTTGGATGGGATTAGATCAACTGCCGTCGTCGTCGTCTTTATTCGTGTTGCTCGTGCATCGTTCATACCGATACAGATGCTTCATCACAAAACCGTGAAGCCGGCGGGGTCACCGCCTGAGCAAAATATTTCACCCGCGGGACTAAAATGTTTTCGCATTTCTACACGTAAGCAGCCTTTAGTGTTTTCGGCGTGTTTAAATCTGTCTTTTATACCTCCTCACCACCCCACTCTCCTCGCGACGTCATGCACGGCGCTGACGTACGCACTGAAACTGGCGAGTTTTTTGTGAAAACGAGCGTTCTAATGCTCACGCATTAAACAAAGCGCTGGCGAGCGCGTAGCGTATACATGACCAGCCGCACTATCTACCAAAGAAAGCTTAACCATTCCAGCTGTCTGTGCTTGCCTTGCAAGAGTTCATGCTGATTTCGCCGAATAGCCGTTCCAAATCAAAGACGACTGAATCCACCGAGTCAGCAGCTTGAGTGATCCGTTTCCGGGCACTTGACAATAATTCTGCGATAAATGACGACAAGCGTTTTTTTTGTTTTATCGCAACGAGCGTCATACCACTATCGATTGTTAACTCAGTAATCTTTTGCTGACCAAGTAGGGAGTAGTGACAATAATAGAGCAGCTGCTGAAATGCCGCTTGTTCATACAATAGCCTTGACGATAACTCAGCTTTCTCCCGTTAGATAACACTGAGAGCCACACGATCGGCTGGGCTTTTTGATATTTTTTATTTATTCAAGTACCTTAAAGACCCTTAGCTGGGCATTACATAAGGAGGACTGTTCAAGTAAAACACAAAGGATACATAAAAGATAATGCTGTGATGGATGGATGGAAGAATCATTTCATGGACAATTGGGGCACTTCAGTTAATAAGAGAAATCACAGAAAAGACAAGAACACAAAAAAGTGACAGGGTCATGTGAGTGAAAATCTTGAATTAAGTACGGCACAAGAACGACAAATAGACATGCCTGAATGTTCACAAACCTATGTTGATACGGGACAACAAACGAGGACTCCATAACTGCAGACTCCCTCCAAAATTACCAGGATCACTGCCTGGATACAGCAAAAGCAAAACTTTACTCCACAAGATTTGACAAACGATCCCGGAACACCCCAGGATCGACGATGGCAGCAATGTCCTCGGGCAGGGAATTCCAGGCTCTAATGGCTCTAGGTATGGCTGAATTGTTGAAGGAAAGTGTGGACCTCGATATTCGGCGAACGGACCGGCTGTTGTTTGTGCGAGAGGACGCCCTGTGAGGCGGTTGGATAAAGGGGAGCTCCTGTACTCCCTGGCTGTCGAATAAAAACAAGCACAAGAGGGAGATCTCACGACGAGAAGCTAATGGAGGTAGACCAATATTGTTTTTAATTAAGGATGCGCTATCGTACCACGAATAAGATGACTCAATAAACCTGGCTGTTCGATTCTGTACCTTTTCTATTTGGTCCGTCAAGTGTCTCTGATAGGGACTCCACACTGACGACGCGTATTCTAATTTAGGTCTGACATAAGTCTCGTATGCCAGCTTCCGAATATTGGGAGGTGCAAGTTTTAAATTTCGTTTTATGAAGCCTAACGTACGTGATGCATTCGCCGTAATTGCGCTGATGTGAGTGGACCAGGAAAGGTCCACAGGAAGGACAAACTCCGAGGTATTTGTAGTGGGGTGATTGTGTCAAGAGTTCATTGTTCAGTGAGTATGGGAATGAGGATACGTTGAGAAGCGTGAGCCACTCTCTACACCAGTCGTCAATACCATGCAGTTCCTGTTGCAGAACAAGGTGGTCGTCGTTTGACTTGATTTGTCTGTATATTACGCTATCGTCTGCAAATAAACGAAACTGTGATCTGACATGGTTTGGAAGATCATTGATATATATCAAGAACAGATGTGGTCTGAGTACGCTGCCCTGTGGAACACCTGACCCACATCAATCACAGATGAACTAGAATTACCGTTAACGGTATACTGCTGTCGATGGGATAAAAATTGGCGAATCCAGGAGAGGACCTGAGAATCAAGATTTAAAGGCGAAAGTTTTGTCGAAAGTCGACCGTGCGGGGCCCGATGAAAAGCTTTCGAAAAGTCCAAGAAGACAGCATCAGTTTGGGTGTGGTTGTCCATATCGGAGTGAATGTCGTGGGTGAATTCCAGTAGTTGCACATTACAAGAGTGTCCCTTACGGAAAACGTGTTGGTGCTTAAGAAAGAAGTTGTTGACCAGCAAATGTGACATGACGTGAGAGTATATTACATGTTCCGGAAGCTTGCATACGACACTGGTAAGAGAAATAAGCCTGTAGTTCGAGACAGATTTACGATCACCATCTTTGTGTACTAGAATTATCTTTCCAATTCTGCAGTCGTCCGGAATTTGACCTGTGGATTATGATTGGTGAAATATTAAGCTCAGTATCTGGCTGCAAGTCGACTTAGTGTTTTTAGAATCTTCATGTTAATATCGTCGTGATCGGCTGATGTTGACACCTTAGCGGTTTCGATCAGATTTGAAATTCCATTTGGCGAGATTTCGATTGGATCCATAGGGGAAGTAGCTGGCTTCACCGACCACCGGGATGTCTAATGTCTGACTGCACCTCAACCGCTCCGCGTTGGCTTCTTCGTTCCGAGTTTGAGTAGAAGAAATTTCTAGACCAGTTAGGCCGACAGGTCACGAGGCCTGCAAGGACTTACAAGGAACGCCTCTTTCTGTTCATTTTCTCAAGAAGCGATTTTCAAGAAACACGCGTTCATATATAGTAAGCCAGACTTCTTTGAATCAGTGCTGTACAGATATTTCAGATGAGGACATTGGCACACACGTTCAGTTAGGGTGGTGAGAACAGCTGCTTAGGATGGCTCAGGCAGTACTGGGAGGAGGTCGCGTCACCACATGGTTAGAAATAAAAAAATAATCTCGTTGCTCTTAGGCGAGAACAAAGGTCATAGGAAAAGCCGATGTCTAACCCGGCAGTTAATGTATGCAACCCACGTTACATCCTATGCACGGCATCGGTGCAGGAAGGTCATGGGATTCGCCTCGGCAAGAAGCGGGGCACAAGCTCACCTGGATGGATGACTTTCTCGACGAGCGGATGGCTAGCCAGAAACTTGGCCACCTTGAGTCCGTTTTCCATGTGACGCTCCATTCGGACGGGGAGCGTCTTGAGGCCCCGGTTCGCCAGGAAGCAGTCGAATGGAGAGGGAACTGCACCCGCCGCTGGGGCGCGAGAAAGGCACATGGTGGTGAGGCACACCGCCCAATGCAATCTCCGACGAAGTTCTGATGGTCGCCGATTTGCCTCAAAATTGTTTCAAGACTTCAATAGACACATCTCAATGAGTAACCTAAATTACAGTTCAAAATATGTTTTTTTTTTTTTTTTGCGAAGGAATTTAATGTTTACGTTTTGTGATATATTACGTTGCCTGGTGATGGTTACGAAATTGCACACGGTAGGCAAATTGGCTAAGGAAAGAAATCATACTTTTGGTTCTTAATTTCTAATCTAGGTGGCGCAGGCTACCGCCCGTTATAAGTGGTGCAGCATCCACCCGTCCGTCCATACTGATATCTTTTTTTCCAAACTCAGAGATTTTTACTGGCCACACTGAAAACGTGATGACTTTCTAGTCTAGCTGGAGCAAGCGTGCAGTCATCCATCCGGTGTTGTGTACATTGAGCCAATAACAAGGTGTGCGGAGGTAAACAAAAACAAACAATGGCCAAACTTTCAGGGGGAGAATGTCACTTTCGGTTGGTTATTGTTTTTACTTGTTTTTGAGAACCCTTAGTGAGTAGCGCATACTTTAAAAGTCTCACCGCCGAGGACTAACTACGGTATCTCCCGAAATTTACTCATTCGGGATCGACATCCCTTACTGTTCCCTTGGGTGAGAGGAAACAGCGCCTGTTTAAGGAAATGATAAATCTGCCGAAGGTATCGTGGGCGCATCTTCAGCACCACCTATATCCGACAAGCCTGGTGCATACTCCCCAGAACATCTTAAAGGGCAACTCCGGTCCATACTTCCGATTTTGGGATTATGGCTGTTTTTAGTGCAGTCAGCGCCCCTGAATTGCAAGGTGTATTTTTTTTCTTGTTATTGTGCGTAGTTTTAAAGATATCGACGTCTCAAAGTTTGGTTTGGGGCGCGGCCGACAAAACCGAAACTAGCCGCTCGAGGTTCCGGCAACACTGGAAGTCAGCCGCTATGTGGACGTAAAGTCAAGATCGTTCTCGTTCAACGAGTACGCAGGCCAAGCGGCACCTACCTCTGTTGCGCTAGCCGTCTGAAGGTAGAAGGTAAGCTGATTTTGTTTTAATTCTGTATACGTGGTAGTTATCCAGCATATGTAGCAAGAGTTAGTGCGTAACGACGCTTTACACACGCGCCAAATTACAGCCGCCATTGCTGACCTTCTCTTGTCTTACCGAAATGCCGAGCAACTGAAACGGTAGTTGACGATCCTTTACAAAGGCCGCTCTAGAAAAGGACACAGTTGAATCTAATATGGCAATAACCTGGCCTGCTATGGTAATGATGAAGTGAAATAGACGAAATAAGGGGAAACAAAAACTGAAGGTCAGTTATGGCGGCGTCCATGCACAGCTGCTGCAAAGCGTCTATACCCAAAAGCTAGCGACTGGAAAACCCGCCAACTCGTTCCGTGCCGTACACGGCGGCCGCCTCCGCGCGTGCGCTATGCCGTGAGCTAGCGACTGGAAAACGAGTGAACTCGTTCGGTGCCGTGCTCGGCAGCTGTCGGCGTGCGTGCGATCTCCCGCACTCGTCGCTAGGCCTAAATTGTCATCGGTGCTCCGTGGATGGAGCGGCGTTGCTCTACGCCGCGCTGCCAGTGACGTACAGTACTGGGGGCCCTCTCGCTTTCCCGCTGCGGGTCAGTCCCAGACACGCAGCTTTGAGGCTCTCCGGCGCGGGCCGCGACGCCCGAACAGACGTGTGCTAAGCTGTAGACGTCTGTTTTTTCGTTCTCTTTTCCTCAGGCGCGTAAAAGCCAAATTTGTAAGCTACGACACTAATTCACCACACAAGTTCGTCCTGGTAGTAAATTTTTGTAAAAACAAAAAACAAAAAACTTGCCGCACAAAAAAAAAAAAAAAGGAAAAGTTTTTTGGGTAGTCATTTTCTTCTCAAAGCCAACAAAAGTTTTTGTGGGTGATAAAGGAAAACAGAGACAGTTAACAAGGTGAGAACACTTTCTTTCCCTTCCGCATTCCCACCCCCACCCACAACAATATTTTTTATTCATTTTTTCATATACCCTTAAAGGCCCTCGTGAGAGCATTACATTATTGGAATACATAGGATTTTAAGTTTTCGTTCGTAACTTTTGACTAAAACAGTTTTTTTTTTTTTTTTTTGGTTTTGTTTTTTGCATTTTTTAAATATTATATTTACCTCCAGCCGAACTCGGGTAAATGAGAGAGTTGTAACTTACAAATCCGAACTTTCGCGATTTCTTTAAAGTCCCTTGTGGTATTCACAAGCGCAATGTTAATTAATACTGCTGCGTAACGGGTTCGAACGATTGGGAGGCGAATGTTTAAATCGCATGAGCTTCACGCGCCGGCTTTTCGCTTGTAGTCGTTACGGACCTGAATACTACGCACGAGATTGCGTAGTAAACAAGCAGCGACGCAAAGCAGAACATTGTTTTCCTTTTCATTATAAACTTCAGTGATTGGAGCTAGTGGTTGTACTCTACATGCCCACCATTCCCCATTCAACAGACATTCAATGGAGCGTGAATGCTCAATCTTCAACACTGCACTTGACAATGACTGTTTTATTTATTGATCTGGATACTTTTATCATGTTTACCTTTTCTGTACATGTGCGGTGGGCAAAGAGCGACGGCACGGCATCCTTTTTAAGCCTGGACCCCTTCGCTGACAAGCCACAAGCAACCAACACCTGTAGGTTTCGTTCGTAACTCTCCGGCGAAAAATGATCGGAGCAGAGCTTCGATCTGGGGGTCGGCGTCCAAGGCTTTCCAAAGTCCACTCGTCGAACAGCGTTCAACCACACCTTCTCCAATTTCCGATCCGTTGGAAACTTGTGAAAAAGCACCTCCGGGTTGCGCAGCGGGTTGTTTGAGCAGCCCACAGCGCTACAAGTTGTACTCGGCATCTTTCGAGGAACAGCTGGGCAGTCTTGGGAGCACCGAGTTGCTCGCTAAAACGAGTCTTGGAGTCCTCACAAGCAAATAAACAAAAGGCTATACCGAAGCTACATGGGCTACAGGTAAAAGCAACGGCTAAACGCGCAATCACAAGCCGAAGTAGCGGTAGTAGCGGCACAAAGAAGCGCGCGCGACGGCTGCGCCGTGCGCCCGTCCGGTACGGAGGAAAAAAAGAGAACGATGTTGACATCACGGCCCAATGTTGCTTTAGCGATCGGCAACCCGCTGGCCGCCCGCTAAGGAGCAGCGGCTCGCGGCGGGTCGCATTTTTATTATCGGATTTAGTTGAGAATGAGGCGTCCTACGGACGTGAAATTTTGGCTGGGGTCGTATTTTGTGCCACTAAAGCGATACCAGTAATTTAATTCATTTTGAGTTTTGGCCGGAGTTGCCTTTTAAAACCTACAAATCATTAAACGCGTTCACATCATCGTATGGGGATGGTCGGTCGGGGCACCGCGGCGCCGGCACCGCACTCTCGCGTTTGTCGCGTTGCGCCATCTGTCAGCAGCACGTCGAATTAAGTATCACCTTCTGCCAATGCCGTCGTCCTGCTAGTCCTGCGATCACCCGGCTTGGGCGGAGTCGGTGGCTTACGTCCCTCGTTTTGAGATAATCGAAATAACTTTACTTGTGACATATTGTTTATGCCGGTACGCACCGGGGCATTTCTAAAGCCTAGCTTTCACGGTATTGCGCGTTAGTGAACCAAGAGACGGTCGCGCACCCACCTAAACGAAAGGTGAACAGAGGAGAACCGGAAGTATTTCTCTCCCCTCTATCATGGCGGCCGGAAGGGCTGATCACAAGAAGTTTGATGGTGTGAAATGAATGCTGGGGAAGCTCACTCCAGCAGAAGAGAAACAAATGCTTGTCATACTGTGGTCCAGTTCGAATGCCGTGTGCCAAGCTTCCTCTTTGAACTCAATGTCATGCGGCATTCGAAGCACGGATCTCGCGGTGACTCGCGTTCGGATCTGTATGCAGACTGTCTTTTGCATGATGTATAAAAGCCCTGTCCAAACAGGACACTTCAGAAACCGTGAGGCGACACGACTCCGATAAAAATCGTGGAAGTTGAAGCTTCCGGCAGTCAGGTGTCTGTTTGAACAGCACCAAGCCAACATCACAATAGACCTCCTCGCTTCCTCCGCTTTTCGGTGACCTCAGTGCTCGCCAGACTTGACGTAACACGCCACCTGCCAATGCTGTCCATCTGTTCTGTCGGGCCCTCGTAACCTTGGACGTGTTCCACATTTTACTCGATCTTACTCCAGGGTAAGGGTCTTGTACCTTTCCGTTCGGAAACCTACCCGCGTCCAACTTTGCTCCCTCTGTGTTGTCACGTGACACGACCCGCCGGAGTAGCTCGAATCCATTTTAGTAAGATTTCGAACGCAATCCTAGCTTTCCTTTCCCGTTTTCGGGACGTGGAGATCAGCGGAGGCCTTGAGCGATTGACCGACAGCCAACAGAGCATATGGGTGGCTGTCCGGACCCAACGTGATATGAGCATGCTCAAGGCCTCAATAAAAAATACAAAAAATTTTGACAAAAAAAAAACTTTTTTCCTGGCAAAAAAAAAAATGAAAGCCGTTTACAACTCCCTGTAACGCCGAATTAGAGCGCAGCTCTTGAGGAGGAGGAGCCAAGGCCACAAAGGTTACGTGACCCCGCCCCCCCCCCCCCCTGAGGCCACGTGACCTTGGTGGGGTCACGTGACCCCCTCCAAAATCACGTGGGGGTCACGTGACCTCGGGGGGGGAGGGGGGTCACGTAACCGGGGTGTGTCACGTAATCTCGGAAGGTCACGTGACCTCCCAGTTCACGTAACCCCCCCCCAGAGAAACTTTTCCGCTAGATTTAGCGGAAAAATGTTTCCGCTAAATCTAGCGGGGAAATTTTCCGCTAGATTTAGCGGGGAAAGTTTTTCGCTAAGTTTAGCGGGGAAATTTTTCCGCTATATTTAGCGGGGAAATTTTTCCGCTAGATTTAGAGGGGAAATTTTTTCCGCCAGATTTAGTGGGGTAATTTTTCCGCTAGATTTAGCGGGGAAATTTTTTTCGCTAGATTTAGCGGGGAAATTTACCCATAATGCACCTCGCGGTTACGCCGACGGCGACGGCGACGCCGCTCAAGCCGGAAACGGGCGCCTAAAAGCTGCGCTCTAACAAAAAAAAAAAATGGACGAAAGCAGGCTGCATCACAACTTATGTCGGAGTCATGTCGCCTCACGATTTTTGAAGTATATTCTGTTTGGATGGGCCTTAAAACAAGACCCTGACACACCTCAAAATTTGTGTTTTATTTTTTTTTGCCAGGCGATTTATTATGGCATCAGAGGACTTCCCTATCATTTTGTTACAGCGTCACGTATATTTTAGAGCGCAGCTCTTAGGCGCCCGTTCCCGGCTTGAGCGGCGTCGCCGTCGCCGTTGGCGTAACCGGGAGTAACCCTCGTAACCCTCGTGAGGGTTACGGAAGTTACAAGGATTAACTCACGAGGGTTACCCTCACGAGGATGACGAGGGCTACGAGGGTTACTAACCCTCATAACCTTCACGAGGGTCACGAGGGTTATGAGAGTTACCCTCACGAGCGTTATAAGAGTTACCCTCACGAGGGTCACGAGAGTTACCCTCACGAGGGCCACGAGAGTTGCCCTCACAAGGGTTACTAGGGTTAACCTCACGAGGGTTACGACGGTTACCCAGGTCACGTGCCCCCCCGTGGTCTCGTGACCTGGGGATACCCCGCCCGAGGTCACGTGAACCCCCGTTGACGTCATCGCCACTGATGACGTCACCGGCATCCGCATCGTCATCGTCATCATCACTGATGACGTCATCAGTGACGTCACTGATGATGTCACCGGCATCCGCATCATCATCATCTCTGATGACGTCATCAGTGACGTCACTGATGATGCCATCGGTATCCGCATCGTGATCCTCACTGATGACGTCATCAGTGACGTCACTAATGACGTCATCGGCATCCTCACGTGGCCCCCAGGTCACGTGACCCCCCGACGTCACGTGACACCCCAAGGTCACGTGACTCCCACCCTAAGGTCACGTGACCCCACCCCGCCCTCTGTGGTCACTTGACCCCAGGGGGGTAAAGGTGGGTGAGGAGGAGTGGCAAATCCCGTGCGCCGACATCCTGGGTCCCGAGTGAACGAACGCAAAAGAGAGCGACAGAACACGAGAGAAAGAAAGCAACGTTGCCATGGTAACGCGAAGAGTGAAAACTCTTAGCAATATAAACAGTGATAATTTAACGTTGTAAACTAAATTATGAGCTATTCTAACGCTTATAAAAAGCAATAAACTCATTACGCTGCATTAACTTCCCTTCTGTCGAAATCTCGGAAATCTGGTTGTTGCGCAGTTTCGTATTCCTCAACCGCGCCCAGCCGCGCCCCACCGGCGAAGCCGGGTATATGGTTTAGTTTAGCGTTAACGCGAGGCCGTACATCTGCGCGCTTTTCAAAAAGAAAGTTTCGAAAGGAACGTGAATATCTTTCCACCGGTAAGTTCGTGAATTGTTGAAGTTCACGAAACTGCTCTGATGATGTAACCGTGTTTGGGACCCCGAGGGTCTGCCTGCATGATCCGCCGCTTGCGGCAGCCAGAATGTATGGGAAAATGGCGGACCTTTTCCTCTAGAGTTAGTATGTATGATCTCTATGCTTGACCCACCCCCCCAGTACCCTTCCCTCCTCCTCCTCAAGAGCTGCGCTCTAATTCGGCGTTACAGGGAGTTGTAAACGGCTTTCATTTTTTAATAAAGTAAAAAAAAAAACAGAAAAAACCTAGATAGCTCGAAATCGAAGCCGAAATTGGACTGGGGAGGAAGAAAAAATATAGAGGACGAGAGAGTTGGCGGAAGTCACGTACGTGGCTGTGCAATATTTTTTTTTCGGTCAACGTATTGGTGGTTTTTTAGAAGCAACAAAAAATTACTGTTATTTCTTTTCAATTTTTAATATTGATTGTGTGCCTTCGACGACCCACGACTTTAGTTATCTTTGTTGCTTGTGTCTAAACCATAGAAAACGGCACGTGACCACGGCGAAGAGAGTGAGCGCGACTCAACCAGCCAGTTCTCGATCGGCGGTTTTCGGGCAGAAAGAAAACGACTTTCGAGCCGCAAATTGTGTTCTGGGTTGTTGGGCTATCATGTACAAATAGAAACCTTTGCGATAATAAATATCTGTCAAACCCCGGCTTTAAATTGCCGTACCATTTTGGAAGAAGCGCAGTTGGTCGTAGATCTTCTTGTCGTTTGTGATGACCGCACCCATGACTACGTCGGAGTGACCTGGAGGTGATTGATGTTGGGGAAAGGAGAATTAGAGCAACTTCATCTAGAGTTTACTGCATCTCTTGAAGAATGCAGGCGAGTTCTCGAGAAGAGAGAGCCGCGTTTTTCGGCCCGGGTAACATAAATCATATGCATCGCCGCAGAATGATCAAACTCCGTGAGAATGTGGCGCTAGCGGTTGGGATAGAATTCGAAAGTTTGAAAACATGGCGGTACATGGATAAACGAGATAAGTAAGAGAAACGAACTTTCTTTATGAATCAAATTACACCTAAGCCTACTATCTAAAACAAAAAAAAAAACAAAAAAGAATTACATTGCTGGCGCGTGTGGAATTTATTTCAGTGAAACAAACTTGTGATAAAGAAAGAAAACAATATTCTCTTTCATGCTGACAAGTATTTTTCACTGATATAAATACCACCAGTGTTCACAATATCATTTCTTGTTTTGACGATATTAAACTTCGATGGACGTCCGCTCATAAAAACATTTCGTGTTTCTTTTTTTTTTTTCATATATTTTTAATGCAGGAAACGTCATCTTTACAAACTTTTGCCTTCTATATTCCAACCGCTAGCTTTACTTTCTCACGGATGTTGAGCTTTCTGCGATGCATAGTTTATTTATCCGGGCCGAAAAACGCGGTTCTCTTTTTTCGGGAATTAACTCCCTATTACCTTTTTTAACCTCGCGGTTTCTGCGTACATTTATGGGGTCAGTCTTGCACAATTCGAAAGACCCATTCTCCGAGGCAGCTAATGCGGCGGTGCTGCACACGTTGGACTGGGGCATTTTATTTTCAGAAGGATAATATAAGAAAGGATAATTTGTTTTCTTACGACCCAAGCGATGAGGACCCGCCATACCCAGAGCGGGCCCAGTATATCATCCTGAGCATTGCTAACCCAATGGGTGTTTCATAATGTCAGAGACAGTGTATTGTGAACTACCTTAGTGCCACCTGAGTAGTCATATCAGCTTGTGCGCGCGGTTGTCCGAAGGCCATTCTGAGATCTAAAACTCTGTTCCTATCAACAAATGAGAGTACCAAAGTGTAAATTTCGAAACTTCCGGGACGTCGAAATTGGCAGTCAAATATATTTTAGAGTAAAAGCAGTGTTATCGTTAAAAAAAATAGCAATGTCACGCTGTCGGATGGCGCGATCCTGGCGGTTGGTCGTAGAAATGCTGGCGAAAAGCACGAGCGAACGAGAGTGTCTCGCCGTCGACGCGACACTGCGAGAGTGACCTCCAGCAGCGCAGGTGTCTGCCACATGCAGCACTGCTGCTAATGGGACTCCGCTGGAGGATCTCGCGACCGGTGACAGCGTGACATTCGTATGACGTCACCAGTGGCAAATCGAGGGACCCCTTTTCATTTTTGGACGCGGTAGACACATCCAGTCGGAAGCGCGTTCTTCCGGGCACCATATGGCTCGACGAAAGTATACGCCGCTAAGCGAAAGACGTGTGCTTAGCATCGCGTTCGTTGTGAGACACTGCTATGCGGAGCGCAAGTCCGTCTGCTTCTTTTGCAGCGACTGTGGTGACGTCAGAACGCCGAGCTCTGATGGACTCTGATTAGAAGGATAGTGGACAGACCTCACGGCAGCTTGCTTTGAGATCTACCCACTATCCGACAATCAAAGCCAATCCGAAATCGGCGTCGTTCTGACGTTACCGGAAACCCTGCAAAAAAAAAGCAGACGACGCTGACGATCGAGCCAGGCGGACCTGCGAGGATGCAGTATATATATATATATATATATATATATATATATATATATATATATATATATATATATATATATATATATATATATATAGGTGACGTTCGGGGGAGAAGGCGCCGGCAGGAACCCACCGTTCATGTACTTGGTCAGCGAGTGGACGGATATGTGAGCGCCCAAGTCAATTGGTTTCTGAAAATAAACAAACAAGGGTCCAGGTCCTATACTTCGTAATCATTCTTATTGACTGCACTTCCAAATTTATTGCTCTTAATGCATTTCCGGTTCAGCGGGAACAAATTTATATGACGTATTTTCAGGACTAGAGTTCTCATCGGGTCTAAAACAAAATTCATAATTTTTTTTTTCTAAGTTTGCATTGGAAATATTACCACTTTACATATGTCTGCTTTAGTCGCTCGCAAAGAAGCTTGCACCATGCATAAATCATCATTAAAGTACTTCGTCATTTACGAAATGCGTCACGTCTCGTTATAATTGAACTGTCACGAAAAAAAAAAAAGATCCTCGTTAAGGTTGCGCCGTATAAAATTTTAACTCTTAAATTTTATGTATAGTTTCCAAACTGTGATTCGGATGGTACTGCAAATACTGAGTGCTCACCTGGAAGTAGGAAGACATGAAGGTATTGTCTACCACAAGTATGGCGCAGCACCTCTTTCTCACGATCTCACAAGCGCCTTTGATATCTACCAGCTTCATGGTGGGGTTGCTTGGAGATTCCAGCCAAACCAGCTGTAGACATAAAACGAAAACGAAAACATACCAACGTAAGAAAACAGACTGTCTTTGGTAGATTATTTAAAGCGCTCTAAATGCATAGCATTTAATTTAATGTTTATTTTTTTACAATATATTGCAAGGCCATTTACAATATAGAGTGGCACTGCAGACAATTTTACGACCAGTACGTTCATATCGCGAGGGAATAAACCTCAATATAAAGCAGCATATGTGGCAGAAGCGATCAACAAATAACCGGCGCTCTAACCACTGCGAAACCAGAATAACGATAAAATAAAGCACCACGAGAGGACTCGTGACAATTTTGAAGCACTAACAAAATCCAAGAAAATATATGCTGTAAACAATGACTTGTGGGGATTTATACGCGCGTATCACAATTATAAATGTAAAGAACAGGCATCGGCAAATTGTTCAACTGTAGCGCATTCAACTACCACACTTGGTAACATGTTCCAATCATCTATGGTTCTAGAAAAAAAGCATATTTAAACACATTGGACGACGATCGAGCGCATTATTTGTTCTTGTGGAGTGTTTGCCACGGAGGGATATATATATATATATTACAACATTACGTCAGGTCACGTGACATAATGACGTCGCAGATTCTCGTGACGTCACAATCTCGCGTTTCATGGCACCGTGACCTCGTCGCCACGGCGTCACATGGAGTTACGGTTCCACGTGAAAAAAACGGTGACCCGAGAGTTCATTCTTTTAGGAATTGAATTTGAGTTCCATCACAACTCGACGGCGGCGATTGAGGCAAAAAAGCTGCATACGCAGCTTCACGCGTCCTCTGCCGCCAACAGTGCGCAGCGACCGACGCACAGCAGGAAATATACGGAAGAAGAAATATATACAAAAGTCACCGTAACAGATTCAGCGGAGATCAAATACAAAAACAGTAGTAGGTGTAACTAAAAATCATAGCCATCCACGAAAAAGAAGAAACAAAATTACAAAATTCTTTTTTTTTCTCTCATTTTGATTAGATTCGTAAAAGTTTAGTCAATTATGCATAATGTATTTTGGCGTTTGTATGCCCTGCATTGGTCTCTGCCCGACTCGTCACTATACGTTACTATTTCCACTCTGGTAAAGAAGGAAGGCCAGCGAAGCTGTACTATGGCGGGAATGAAGTAATGGCCGGCCGCAAGTCGGCAAGCCAGAGTGGTAAGGCTGGAAAGGTTGCTCCATCTATGAGCGACGGCGGAAACCACACCTTCGGCAAGCCGATTGTTTGGTTGCCGCCGTCGCTTATAGATGGCGGTAGCTGTCCAGAGTTTCGTGTCATCATTTGTCTGCCGACGGACACGGTACTGGGGATACTAGCTCTTAACAACTCCGCTCTAAAAAAGAAAAAAAAAAGAAAAGAAAAGAAGATTGCAAAGGTATTTTGAAATTTATTACCTTTGTGGTTGGCCTAATCTCCTTCTGCAGTTTCTTCAAATCAGTGGCATCTACATAGGTGACTTCGTAGCCTTTTGGGATCATGAGTGATTTGAAGAGCCGTCTGGTGCCTACGCAGACAAGGACAAAAAGAGATTTCGAAACTGGTCCCTTTTGTCACGCGACCCGAGTAACGTCCGTTTGGCTACTTTACCTCCGTACACGTCGTCGAAGCTCACAATATGATCTCCTGGAGACACCAGATTCATCACGTTATTTATTGCTGCCATCCCTGAGGCAAATGCCAGGGCTAGAACGACAGAAACGAAGCGCGGTAGTGTGGAATGGAAGAGGAATTCAATCAATCAATCAATTGAGACTTTGTGTTTGTCCGTCCCTTCTTGTCCCAATCTCGGGGTTTTTAGTCCAAATATTTAACAATCAATCCATGTTATTTAGGAACACATCGCACGTGTAAATATAAATCCCTCTTTTTGTCTAAATTAAAATAAGAAAATAGGTCACTATTTTCTTTTCCCTTTATCAGGTTTACACGATTTCAATAAAATACTTATGTCTTAAGTGTGGTTAGCGCACGCCCACTGCCATGCCCCTCTTGAGAGCCACGTGACACCAAAAAGGGCGTTGGATTGGCCACAATGGCTTCGCTGCGGTCCATCGCAAGATTAGACAGAGTAGAGGCTCGCCGCTTCACGATTGGTCGCGGCGGGCTTTTACTCTTGAGCAGATTGTGCCGTTTGCAAGTACGGTCTCTGGGCGCCGCCATCTTGCTTCAGGGGCACCCAGCTAATCCGATTACGATGTCTTAGCAAGGCGCCGTAAACGGATTATGGCCGCGCCCAAGAGCACCCCAAGCAAGCAAGATGCCGGTGCCCGGAAGCCGTACTTCCGCCATTTTGAGAGCGAGAGAGAAAAGGGGAAAGGGCTACCGGCGCTTTCCCCCTTTCTGGTTGTGTAGAAAGAGTGAAAGTCCCGGATGAGAGGCTTGGCCGGTGTTGGGTGTCTGCTGTGCCCCAACTTCGTTTGCGCTTTCTTTTCTGTTTTAAACTCGCCAACTTAATTAGAGCCAAGGGCTTCGATGGCAGTAGTCCCCCGATCATCGGGACACCATTGCTCGGTCATAGGGTGCACGAATAACGACAGAAAGCGTCGAATACTGCCCAAGGACCTCGTAGCTTGCATGGAATCCGGCAAGGCAAGTGCGACTGCAATGCTTTGATTCTCCACCGCTTTCCGCATGACTGGAAATGATGAACCATTCATGAACTTTTGCTTGCAATAGGCCTATTTAAACGTAACCGTTTTTAGTAATGAACCAGCGATACACGAAACGGGAACCTCAATTAACTTTTGTAAACACCCGGAGCTGCTACAGATCATTTTGCTGCGCTGCTTTTATCTTGCGTGTCCGTGTTCTTATATTTCCTTTTGGATGAACGACGAAGACGTTCTGGATGTACTTATATTGAACCGCAGAAAGCCTCAAAGTAGCCACGAATTATTTTACTATTTGATGCAATATTTTGAGTACTAACCTTCAATTTCTATCACTTACACATTCGCTGCCGCTGTTCCCCCCGTCACCGCACTGGTGGGTGCCATGACTCGAACAAAGAAACGTGCTCACTGGGCTCGGAGACGCTGATCGCAACACACGAGACGTACCCTGCAGAGACTATCCAGCGCTTCAAAGCGCCCAAACAACCTACCAGCGGCAAACCAAGGAGCGCTTTAGCCGGCTCTCTGGTATCGCGCAGGAGATCGCCGATTCAGGAAAACCGATAGAACTACCTTTTCAACAATTTCTAGCCTCACGCGGCGGCGGAAATAAGCCTTCAACTAAGTGTTGTAAATGATGAAATCGAGTCAGTCACCACTGTAAATTATCAATATTAAGATAAATTCAGTTACAAAATTTTACAAGCTGAAACAGCAATTATCACGAGAAAACTGGCACGCACCTTGCGAGCGTATACCCATGTTCATCGGCGGTACAGCGTTCGGTGCGCGCTCCATTCACAAGATGTAGTCAAGAAAATGGCGTTTAGGAAACGTCTTTTCGGTTTACTGACGCAATCCACTGCAGCCATGACCGGGGTCATGTGGAAAGCGATGGAGCTTAAAGACATTGCAGCCGCTTTTGCCTTGCCGGATTCATTGCAAGCTACATAAGTCCTCGGGCAGTATTCGACGCTTCCTGTCATTATTCGTGCACCCTATGACCGAGCAATGGTGTCCCGATGACCGGGGGACTGTTGCCATCGAAGCCCGTTGCTTTAATGAAGTTTGCGAGTTCAAAACAGAAAAGAAAGCGCGAACGAAGTTGGGGCACAGCAGACACCCAACACCGGCCAAGCCTCTCATCCGGGACTTTCGCTCTTTCTACACAACCAGAAAGGAGGAAAGCGCCGGTAGCCCTTTCCCCTTTTCTCTCTCGCCCTCTTTGAGTAAAACGGTTGACTCTGTGATGTCACGCATCTGCGGTGGTCCTGCTGTCAATTACTGCAAACGCTTCCTTTCAAGCGAATGTGGCTTTTGCGCAGGCTCAGTGCTCGCGATGTTTGTTTGTAAACAGCGTGTTGGTCTGCAGCGCATTTTGGAGCATTTGAATATTTGACGCGAGTTAAAGGGACGCTGAACCGAAATTGGGAGCTCACAAAACAAGGCTGGAGCGATAGGTGGGACGCTGCAAAACCCCAGAACATCACTCGCACAGCGATATCTCTAACGGATGACCCTACTTTTGTAAAATAAGTGCACGATTGAACACGGCTGATGAGACCGACGAAACATGTGACGTCACGATTCTCGCTCCCTCTCCTTTTCGCTCCGTCCCCTCGAGCCAACACCTCTAAGAGGCTAAGGCCGTAGCGCTCTTCTCGTGATGTAGCAAAGGACGACTACCTGGGGCGCGCGTCGAGGTGCACGTAGGTGGTCACGTGATCCCTGTTGTGACGTGACAGCGCCCTGACGACCGTCAAAGAAGGCGTTGCTTTTCGGACAGTCAGCAGCTCACACACAACGTGAATTTACCAGAATCGGACCCCGGTATGAGGGAACAAAATGTCGTCGCCGGAGCCGGTTTATTCGAAAAGTCTGGGGAGCTGTGGGACCGCGCTGTGGGCCCTGCGGTTACAGGATGCTCATATATCTAAATTTGGTACTTTCAACCTTGGTAACGTGTTGTTTATTACGTTTATATTATATATATAATAAATTATACAAGAATGCGCCTTTAAGACATATATTAATGCCGGATGAATGCGCACAAACAAACCACGTGACCTGATGAGCAGACGACGCGGCTGGGACAAAGAAACAAAGTGGGCGTCTTTTCTAAACGTGGCCTCCCTTCTCCGGCCATTGCGACGGCCCTAACTCCAATGAGGTGTTGCTCGAGGCCTCAAGGCGATGAACTGAAGCGAGGCCACTTTCCCTCATTCTCACTGTTCCAGGAGGATCGTGACGTCAGAGTCCTCGCTTGATCGCGCCCTTCTTTTCCGAAAACACGGCCATCCGTTTGTGATACCGATGTATGAGTGATGTTTTGGAGTTCGTAGTGTCCCGTTCAACGCTTCGTCGGCCTTATTGTGCGTAATCCAAATTTCGCAGTTACGCTAATTACGTTTAGAATTAGGGATGTCACAAACCTGTCCAATGGTTTGCGAGTTTGACCAGGTCTGACCTGTTCGAACTTATAACGCTAAGTTCGATAAAAACATTCGACTAGTTTGGCTCTTGCGTGCATACGCGAAAGTCTAAACCGAGCTGACGCCATTTGGAGCAGGAAAAGTGTAATATATATGGGGTATATCGTTTCCGTGCTATGCATTAATAAACCATCCAAATCATTAAAATCACGCATGTCGGTGTTTACGTTTTGTAAACATGAGTAATCGCTTTATAAAGAAGAAAACTAAACTACTTTATAAAAGATTTGTCTCCCGATATTCAATTTTTTTTTTTTTTTTTTTGTATAGAAGCCGGACAACAGCGTCCATCATAAGTCGAACTTTGTCGACCTTTGCTAAAAGGTCTAAGGTTGGTCGAACCAGTCGAACCTCGGATTCGACAAAAGTTAGCAAAATCTCTAACTACGCCTATTTTCTTTTTTTTTTTCTTTCTTTTTTAGTTGAGAAGGGATTTTTTATTATTATTATATTCACATACCGTATTTGGCGTGCTCGAGCGACGCCAGACTTTCTTCCAGGCACTTCCTGCTCGGATTATCCGATCGTGAATATTCGAACCCCTGAAAAAAAGTAAGAACTGTATATAATAACCTCTTGGGCTACCGTGCTTCACGCAGAGCTCGTGTGCAGTGTGAAGTAAACGAGTGGTAAGCTGGTTTAAAATCGTTTTAATAGTGGTGCGCGCATTGCGTAAGCTACTGGACGTGGCAGTAGCTTTATCCGGTGGTAGTTTCACAGAGGCACGTGCTCGTCTGCGTCGGTAGTTAAATGCCCTATGTTATCTAAGTACGTACATATGAGGAGTTTTATTTATTTATTTTTGTTCAAAATGAGCCAAACTCTGAGAAGCGAAACTAAAATAACCAGACATGTGTGCTTATTTAACTAGCTTTGAGCCCTGAACCGGCCACCTTTACATGGGTTTTTCTCGCATAATGTGACGTATCTCAGATTAATTTGAACATGATTGTAAACCTGAGACTGGGGCAGAAAAGGGAACACGACAGAAGGTAGAAAAAGAGGAGGCAATACCTTTTATTTTTTTATTTAATACTGCAACCTCATTAAGGCTTTAGCAGGGTGGACACTGTGGTACAGCAAAATACACCAATCTTCACGCAAAAAACTACAAAGACACTTAAGACTGCTAACGTGTCGGAATGCGAAAGCATTCGTATACGTAGCGTATACCTACAAGCTGCGCACCGCGCTGAGCTCGGTCGTGCAGCCACTCCGGAGTCTGCCCGGGCGGGCTCTGCTGGCTCTGCGGCCGGCCGCTCCCTCTTACCGTCGGCCGGGCCGCTGCGTCGCCATGGAGAGGGCTTCTCTGTGGGGTGGCGTCCCTTGGAACTACGCCGCGAGCCAGCCAATGAGCTGGCTGCTACAGACTGCAGCGAATTCGCTCCATAGGGGAATTTAGGTGCCGTTTGGCGCGGCTTCAAAAGCTGATAACGCCGGTTTGCTCCGTGGGACAGTTAATGCTTTCGTATTAGCAGTACGTGACGATATAAAACACTCTGTAAACTATGTCCCGATCACCAAGTCGGTTCTCACAAGGAATTGTGATACGCCTCCAGAAAACCTTTCAAAATGCCGTTCAGTTCTCACAAGGAATTGTGATACACCTCCAGAAAACCTTTCAAAATGCCGTTCAGTTCTCACAAGGAATTGTGATACACCTCCAGAAAACCTTTCAAAATGCCGTTCAGTAATTGGAAACGATGTAGCCCAGGTATACTCCGAATTTTTGCCGAAGTTGGCTTAGTTTCGGCTTCTGAACTTAACTCATTTGGAATAAGAAAAAAATTGTTATATATAGGGCTTGGTATATCCACTGAACGCCGTACTTGAGTGCGCTGTTGACAACGCATGCTCTGAACGAGCTTACTCGTATAGGCTGCAAAGACCAGCATGGTGTGGGCACTTCGAAAGCACAGAAGCTCACCATCAGCACGGGCTCAGCAGCCGCAGACTCAGCTATGACCACCAGTAATTTAACGTTTACAAATCCACAGCCCGTCATGCGATCTCCACAGCCCAGCAGGCGTGCGTTCGTGACTTCAGAAATCGAGCAAAGCCCACGCCATATGCACGAACGCTGAAAATGGCATCGGCCTGCAGCCCTTCTCTAAAATTATCTCTTATGGCTTGTTTTTTTTTTTCTTTTTTTTTTTTTTTTTACATGCGCGTTTATTATGGCTGTTTGAGGCAAGATAACTTCGTTTTTAAGAAGTGAGAATGCGCTGGTTAGAAACAAAGTCTGCAAGAGAGTTCTGCAAAAGTCTGTAATAGCTCTGCACAAATCGGTTTCGTGTCCGGCGTCCATTTGAACGTTTTAAACTAAACGTATTTTATTGAAATAGCACAAGAAACTGAGCCTAGAGCAGCAAATAAATTTCCCCAAAACGTTTGAAATTTTTTATTGTAGAATTACGATATATCCGAGACCGAAAATTATCTCCAACTTTAATGTCCCGCCGTCATGCTGGGACGTAACCAACAGTACGTGGGCAGCTTGAGCCTGTTTCGCCCAGCGTCGGAAGCAGTCAGACGATCGTCGCGATCGTCCGTGAAACAACTCATCAAGCTTTTCTGAGTCAAGCAATGAAGATGAAATGTTTTCCGATTCTCAACACTATATTTCGGACGCTTCGCCGTTCACATTCGATCCGCCGGAATCGCCTCTGAGGGAACCACTCGTGACGACTCCATTCGCGATCCGCTTCCATGTGAAAACACATGCCGCTTCCGAAGCAGGATGGTATGGAAGCTTTTGTTTGCTGGCACAGTGCGAACTGTTTTCTAGCACGACACGAACGCTATGCGGAGCCCAAATTCGTCTGCTTCTTCTGCAGGGGTTGAAGTGACGTCTAAACGCCGAGCTCCGATTGGTTCTGAATGAAGGATAGAGGGTAGACATCAAAGCAAGCTGCCTTGAGGTCTACCCACTATCCTTCAATCAAAGCCAATCAGAGCTCCGCGCAGGGTGTAAGATAGACAGGTGGGGAAACGGCCCATAGAAGCCTACCGCAGCGCCGTGACCGGATTGTGTACTCGTCTGCTTGCGGGTACCCCCGAATTCCGACAGATGGCGCTGCTGCGAGAGGAAAAAAAAGTCGGAATCAAATTTGCATGGAACTTTATAAGAGCGTGCGCAAAATAAACCGAGAGCACAACATTCCTTCATTGAAAATCCACGAGAAATCATCTCCGTCAGTTTAGCCGGTCGCCACCGGTCGCCCACCCGGAGTGAGAGTTCGCGGTGATCCACAAAGATGGCGCCACAGAAAAAAAGGAACCCGAGGGGGACACAATCCGGTCGCTCATTTGGCTCTCGTTTCCCCACCTGTCTATCTTACACCCTGGCTCCGCGTCTTTCTTACGTCACCGCAACTCCTGTGCAAGAAGCAGACGACTTGCTCCCCGCATAGAGCCAGCTAGCGTTTGCCTTGGGCTGGTCGGACCCACTTCCGTGGCAGAGACGGTGGGAAACTGATACGAGGTAATGCTGCTGTATTTCTTCGTGGTGTTATTGCACCCCACAGCACACCGCCAATTCCCTCCCATCCTCTATCGCGTGCCGCAAGTAGCCTAAACCGGACGCAATTCGCAAAACCACAGACGCTCACTATCACTACAACGCACAACGCGGTGGAGAAGGGAACGTCGTCTGCTCTCGGATACAACATCTGACGTTACGAGCACCCCTGCTTGTTGTTGCTAGTAGAACGGCAGCCAGTGATTAATGAGGTGTACGCGTAAACTTCAACATTCGTTAGATCGAGAGAAAATTAATATATTGTAGACATACCGAGGGGGAGATGTTTAGTTCTTGGTGAAAATTTCATGTTTTCCCTTCTCTACACTTTTTACAGAGATAGAGCCGAACCCGGTATGGGGCTCTGAACCCGGTGCTCCAATGGCGGCCAGGCATCCAGGAAAACTGAACGCCAATAGAAGCTTAAACCACGCATAAAGTAGGCACGGTTCATGAGTACAAATATGTACAGTCGGGAGCAAAAGTTTGCGGGGCACGGGAGCGCGTGCCGAAATGCATCGCCGCGCCGTGCAACGGCGCGCCACCGCATTAAAAAGCCGCGCTTTGCGCATGCGCGCCCTTCGTGCTGGCAGTCATGTCTCTTTCGCTCGTTTCTGTCCGACTCACTCCTGATAACCGGAGTCGGCGCCAGGGGCGCAAGTTGCCGTTTCGCTGGCTGTCATGCCCCGCGTCCTCTTCAGCTGCCTCAGCAGCCGCGCTGGGTGACAAGGCGCCTGGCTACACCCCCCCCCCCCCCCCCCCCCCCCACACACACACACACACATGCGAGCTCCGTGACAAAGCGCGGTGGCTGAGACGGCTGAAGCAGACGCGCAGTAGACAGCCAGCGAAGCGCTAACTCACGCCCCTGGCGCTGACTCCTGTTATCTGGAGCACGTCGAAAAGAAACAAGCGAAAGAGACATGATTGCGAGCACGAAGGTCGCGCATGCGCAAACCGTGTCTCCTTAATGCGGCGGCGCGCCGTCGGACGGCGCGGCGATGCATTTCGGCACGCGCTCCCGTGCCCCGCAAACTTTTGCTCCCGACAGTACCTACGTTATCCTCCATTCACGGAGTTAAAAGGGGCAATGAAACAATTTTTCCACTTTCGCTAAATAATACTTAGACCACCCCCTTACTTTAATAACCGAATGAACTTGTCTTAGTTTTTCTTTTTAAGTAATGGCGCTCGGCAAATAAATTCTAGAAACATCAGCATCGTTCATCACCCCAACAGAACAAGCGGCCACGTGGCTTGTTGCCTATTCTAGCCGCTAGCTTTAATCATAGCCACGCGTTGGGGTCAGCAAAGTATATAAAACGCGTGCTGAGCTCCGGGTATTGTTAGAGTTCGGCAATTCTCATCCCCGCAGCGGTTGGAGACGAGCCACTACCCGAGTGACCGCCGAAGCATTGATTGTAACGAGTCGAAGTCGTGTGCTCACGCTGTTCTCGTGTCCAATCCATGAGCCGCGCTCAACTCTTGTCAGGCGGATGGTTTTGATCACACAATTACGCCATTAAGCTTTGAAAAGTCAAGACTGAAATAAATAGTCCCCTTTTATCCTCGCAATTTGACCGCGACAAAGAAGCTTCTGAATCATTGGCGGTCTTTGCGAGTATGTTTAGGCCAGACTAGAACCAGTGCACATCTGTAAAATCATAAACATTCCATAAACGAAACCATGGCAAAACATTTTGGAGTTTTCATGACGGCCGCTTGATGGCTTCAACTTTTGAAAAGGGTATACTTGTCCCGTTTCTCAAGCCACGACAGCAACATCATTATCATCGTCATGTACAACTGAAACAATGACCTCGAGGCCCTCAAGGTAAGGAATGGAATCATCATCAAAGTATAGTCAATAACCGGCACATACTTACGTGGGGGTAAGATTCGCCTGGTGCTTTCTGCTGGAAAGTACTGGAAAGCGTAATAGGTGGAATGACAGCTCTTGAGTTCCACTGATCGGGATCTTGGCCCACGTGAACGGCCTTCGTGTTGAAGTGCCACTGTTCGGCCGCCATGATGGGTCTTTGCTGAGCGTTTTCCTGAGACCTACACGTATGTAGCGAATGAGTTGTGCTATATTATGAACAGCAGCTGCTTTGACCCATTTCAAAAGACCATCAAGCAACACTCGGAGTCTACATAATTTGGGCGCACGAGACGGAATTTAGAGCAAAATTTGAAGGGGGGTGGGTCTAAATGTTTGTACACTAGGTGGCGCAAGCTACCGCCGGGTACAAAGCGTATATTGCCAATATCATCCATTGGTTCCATTGGGTACTTCCGCGCAAAGCCTGCGATTGGATCCGATTTCACGCCGAGCGTGACGCAGCAATCATGTCCAGTGCATGCCCAAAATATTGCGGCCTCGGATAGTTGACGCGGCAGCCACTGATGGCGATCAGTTTTGAAAAGGGTCTATTGGATGATGTTGGACGACAGGGCACAGGGGTGGGCAGTATTTTTTTTCTTTATTTGTTTCGCGGGTTTGCCGCGTAGGGGGCAGAGATAAAGGCGTGATGCCTGACAAAGCCTCTGCCTCCTAAAGTCCAGCAGCTCAAAGTAGTTACATAATAACAGATTCTACTAAACATCATACAGTTAAAATAAAACAAGAGAAACAAGTCAAAGAAACAAGAAGAATAGACACTATATTCATTCCCGTACGAAAATGTCAGATATGGCCCTGATGTATTTTATATACGGCCAGATATGATAATATAAGCAGTCAAATAGGGCTGTATTTCGCCAGATATGGGAGCTAATACGGCCGTATTTCGCGATATAGGTGGGCAAATACTGCCAGATCTGGCCGTATAAGTGCGTAAATACGGGCATACATCACCATATACGCGTGCAAATATAGCCCCAGATAATGATATATGGGCCCGTTTCAGTTGTGGAAGCAACAAGTTATATGTACTCGCTAAGGCACTAGTTGATTGATCTATATTGCATGAGTCTCATGTAATTGGTTAACTATTGTTAACATCCTTAAAGTGAAGTTATTCCAGGTATTTGGACCAATTAATAAATTGCGAAATTTGAAGATTGAAAGACAAATGAAATTCGGTTGTATGTTTGATGCGTGACAATATGACGTAGTGCGATCGGAACGCGACTTAATCAAACAATGGATTTTAGTCGCAGCTCTTAGGCACCCGTTTCCGAATTAAGCGGTGTTGGCGTCGCCATCGGTGTAACCGCCCCGCTAAATTTAGCGAAAAATTGAATTGGTACGTATGTCACGTGACGTCAATTTTCCCGCGAAATCTGGCAGTGAAACAAACTGTTTTCATATTTTCCCGCTAAATTGAGCGGGTAAACACGAACCGTTAGCTTACTCAAGATGCAAGACGCTACTTCGCCGTCCCGATTCCTTTTCCCTTCGAACGGAAGCCGTTGCGCCCGGAGTACAATACGCAGCTCTTTCAAAACCGTTTGCGCAGCATCGCATCTGTTCGTTTGCGAGCGTCGGCGATTCATTGTGTGTTGAAAGTCGGAAGATGTGCTGTCCGTGGTGTCTTTTATGTGTAACTCGTTCATAAAAAAAATTTAAAACAGTGTACAGATGATTTTATATTTATTGGTAAACATATATATATACATATCTATTTATTTATTTATTTGTCGACATCATGCACAAAAAAAAACTAGTCGCGTTTATTTTTTCATTTAAAATTATAATGTGGTTTATACAGCGTAAAACACAGTATATTGAAGCTCGCATCGTTCTGAGTTCAAAAGCTAGACTTCATAGAGCTGTATGCTCACTCGGTATTGACAGCAGGGTAGACGCTACGCGTGTTTTAGGCCAATCGTGTTTCCGTTTAGGGTCACGTGACTACAGTCTAGAATCTGGTGACAAAGCAGGACATCGCACCTGCCTGGCGCCCAAGGCCACACATAGCATTCACAGCAGTGTCAACCTTCGTTACAAGTGACACATTCCCTCGTTGCGGCCCCGTAAGATAAGCCTTTTGTTCGTGAAACCCCGTTTTGGCCTCTCCCTTGATCCTTTTCTCTCTCTCCCTAAGCTGAAAGCGTTGTAAAAGTTGAGTGGTCACGTGGTTTGAGGGATGACGCATTAGCCGTTCCCGATCTCGGAATGCGTTTAGCCGGACCTAGTTTGGCGTGTGAATTCTCCCTCTGTGGCTGCTGCGTATGTCTGCTTTTGCAAGCGATTTCTTCAAAGAAGCCCAAGAATGTTTTGAGATGCGTTTAGTGTTCGGTTCTACAAACGACAGCTTGTGCTACATCGTGTTGAATCTTCACGGGCACCTTCGCGTTTCTGTGTTCGAGTGGTGGTTTTACCGTGGCCGTGTCGACATCTCCCTTGGATAACACCTTTCAAGTCGCGTCTCGTCAACGTAAGTGCGCTGCAACCTACTTCGTGACAATTGATTGTTTTTCCTTAATGTATTCCAGATTACTTCTAGATTTAGGCCGTGTGTATCTCCTGGCAGCCGGGAGAATCATTGTGCAGAATGTTTCGGCATTAGTGCGATTGCGCTACAAGCAGAAAGTTTCGATATGCCGCGGACAAAGTTTTGACGTGTCGCCAAAAAACAACAGCAACACAGACTCTTAATTATGCGTTCCAAAATTTGACGAGCGGCTTTACGAGTCGCTGGTAGAAAGATTGTTACGATTTTGCGAAATACTGGTAAACAATGCTAGGTTACCGTCACAACCTAAACCCTGGGATGAGGATAAATCAAATAACGGAAAACTCTCAGTGACTCAGGCTTTATATTATGATGTTTCCTAACCGGCATGACAAGATACTTTCGCTCCTTGCAAGGGTTAGCGTCTCGCGGACGGCACAAACCGATCCCCTGACGGCGGCGTCTCGGCGAACTTGCACGCGGGGCCGCCGCCGACCGATTGCCGTTATCGGCGTTATGTAACGATAGGCACAGGACATCTACTCCACGAATGGGCAAAAGCCGATGCAAAGGCGTGCGCGAACGTAAAGAACGGTAGAAAAGTGCCGTTGCTCGCCGCTATGAGATGCGTGCCGCTAACTCGGTCATCCGCGGGCGTATCCCTCTCCTCCCGCTTGTACTTTCTCTAGCTTGACGGACACTGTCTCGCGGTTCATGCCGACGAAACGATCGTCGGGATGCCGGATAATTGCTATAGCCGAGCGCGGCACAGTTTACCATTGCTTCCGCTGTGGAGGGTCGAAGAGTCAACTACCAGCACAGTAAATACCGTTTTTTTTAATTTTTATTCTTGCAGATTTATTTTAAAAGAAGCCGTGAACGCTGCTCTTATGCGGTTTGTGCGAGAGTGATACGCCCAGGGGGACGTTATGTAGTCTGCTAATCTTTGCGATAAGTCGGGTAATTACTTAAAATTCATTAATTAACTTTTAATTAGTGAAAATAGGCATATAGTTTCAATTAGAAACTTGCTGAGCGTCGTCCAAAACCCCTAAACCAGTAATTTTTAGAAAGACTGAGCGCGTGCGAAGCGCAGTAGTGCGCTGAAGTTACCACTCGTGGACCAGGTACAAGGCTGGGGCTAGGTAAGAGACAGAAAAATTGCGGGGCGCCTTACCGAAACCGCTAGCCTTGTACCTGCTTTACGAGTGGTACCTTTAGTGCGCTTCGTGCACGCACTGAAAGATTTTCCGAAAATGACTGATATAGGGATTTTGGACGACGCCCCGCTAGCTGCTTATTGGAACCGTATGTCTATTTTCACTAATTGAAAAGTTAATTAGTGAATTTTAATTATTTAGCCGAGTAATCGCACAGCTTAGCGCCCACGTAATCTCCCTCTAGGCGTATAACTCACCCGCAGAAACCACATCACTGTAGCTTTCATGATTTTTTAAGAACAAATCTGCAAGAATAGAAAAAAAAACCTGATATGGGAGGCAGATATGCCCCTACTTGGCAGACCCAGATATGGTTATATAAAAAATTGGGCAGATCTGGCTATATAAGGCTTATATAAACTGATGTGCTTGATATGGCCAGATCTGCCCAATTTTTTATATAACCATATTTGCTTTTTTTTATATAAGTCCAGATCTGCCATTTTCGTAAGGGTTTGCTAAAAAAACTCTATAAACGAGTGTTGGTCGTAAGAAACCAAAAACAGTAACAACAAACAGTAATAACAAAAAACTAGAATGCAATCTTGTGCTCCTCCGACATATCAGCATCACAAGCAAGTTCTCATGAAGAAATACAATGAAAACAAATCTTTCAAATAATAGTATTTGAAATACATATTTAAAATACTTCAAGTATTTTTTATTTCGTACTTAATTACCTATTGGGGAATGTATCTGTCAATTTTAATTGGAAACTGAAAATTAACTGTTTAAAATTCTCGTGTTTCAAATATTGCAGAAATACAATATGGGTAGCTTTGCAATCAAATGCGGTATTGGCCACTCTTTGCGATGCGAGCAGGATGTAATCCGTTTCAAGTAGCGGATTACAGTGATGCCTCTTTAATATGGACGCATCCGTTCTCCCAAAAAACCGTCCATAATGTGAGTAGTCCATATTGACGAGACAAAAAGGCATGTGTTTTCCCAGCTTGTCCCCGAAAATGGCGTCCATACAGCGAGGTATCAATATTAACGGGGTCCATATTAACGAGACATGAGACCCCCCCCCCCCCCTTTTTTTTTTTTTTTCCCCACTGGTATGGTAGAACGCTTCTCGACCTCGAGTTGTGCCGGCTTCTGTGCTTTCTGCTCGGCGTTTCTTCCGCCCCGGAATATAAACCTACAGAACAATTACAAACTGCCAGCGTCACTTGGGCGGCGTTCGATCGGATTACTACCAGAGCGTGCAAAAGGGTGGGCAGGTAGTTCGCCAGATCGCTTCAAGGTTTTTCTGTGCCTCAACCCCCTGCCCGCGGCCCGCCATTGGCCGTTTCGAACTGGATGAGTACCGTAAAACAGTGCGTTCGTGTGATCACTACTGCGTGACGCACGTTAAAGACCCCCCCCCCCCCCCCCCCCCTTAACCCCCACCCCCCCGGGCTGGCG